TGCGTGCATGTAACGTTTTTTGCAATAGATGGTCACCTCAGAGCTTAGGGTGGTTCGTGCACTAACCAATATTCCTCATTTCTGCCTGCATGCGTCACATGATTTACCTACCCTGTGACCCGTCCTGTAACCGTTCCCGCAAACCCCATCCTTCCCTCCCTCCCCTCACCCTCCCGTCTACACACCTCTGTGCATGCCAGCGTCTCTGCTATCGGGTCAGGCATCTCCGCAATGGCACGAATGCCCTCCGCCAGCTGATTTATCTGCAGTGGTTGGGGGACGGAGGGCGAGGGGATAGCGGGAGTGAGGAAGGGGAAGAGAGCGGGTGAGAACGAGAAATGCAGGGAGATTTTTGAATTGAAGCGATTGCTTGAACGCTCTCCGCCAGTTGATCAACGTCAGGGAATAAGAAAACGATGGCAGTTGGGGAAGGCGGGGAGGGAGTGGATAGTGGAGAGAGTGTGGGAGGGGAGGGATGGGAAAGGGGGGGAAGGTTGGTGGGATGTGGTTTGGGGAAGAGGCATGCAGCAAAGAGAGTCGTTGATATAAGAAACGACTCAGATGCCTTACGCCGATTGCTGAGGTACAATGTAGCGGAAAGAGGGGGTTGGGGACGGAGGAGGGGAATCTAGAGGGATGGTAAATTGGGGGGAGGGGAAGTTAGCTGGGAGAGAGGGGAAACTGGAAGCGGGGGAAAAGTTGGAGGGAGGAAAAACAGGCGAGGGAGAGCCGGAAAGGGATGTTCAGCACATGGTTTTTATATAAATGCCCTTTAATGGGAGGGGGAAAAAGGGGGTACAAGGCGGGCAGCTCCATCACCCAGCCACACTCAATGTACTACAAGAACATGCACCAGGAGATAGGCGGAAGGCTAGCTTCCAAGAGTTGTGTATGCACCTCTGCACTACGCATTCCTCGATTAAAGAAAACTCAGATCCGTATCAGCTCTTTGCGTTCGTGTATGCTGACTTCGTTCTCGTATCAATTATATTCGGCGACAGAATCTAAGCCGAAGCTTTACCTTCAATAAATTGCCAACATCCTGGGCCCTGATGCTCCGCCACTCCCTGCTATTCCCACTGTACTACACTTCGCGACGATGATGCCTTCATATTTGAATTTCACGTACCCGGCCAGGTTTGAGTTTCAGCCGTTGGATGAGAGCAGGGGCAACGCGATGGATTTCTGCGAACCGCACGTCGTGGTTGTTCTGCTCGATGATCTCCTCCTCCCGCTTCACCAGCGCGTCAGCCACATTCAGCAAGATCTCCTTCCTCTTCTCCTGCGACAGAGCCTGCATCGCGGGTAAATCCATGGCACAGGGAGCAATGTAACAGCAAGCCATAATTTAGCGTTCTAGCACGCTGCAGACGACTTCTCGGCCAGGGAGCATTTTGCCTACATATACCCTACACACCAACCTAGTTGGATACTTCCTGTGCACTGATTGTACCACCAGTCAGATGGCATAAAAACTCCCATAGCCATACCGCAATCGAACTTTAGAACGAAAGAAGGACTCCCCTGTCACCACGCCTACGATACCAGAACCGGGACACCGAATCACAGAAAAGATTCCTACTCTGGCAGCATACCTGCAGCTTCCTGCTCGCGTCACGCGCAGCAACAGCCATGTCGCGGGCAGCGCTTTTCCCCGACTTGCCAACAGCCCACAGATGCGCGTCTTTGTGGAACAGCGTGCCCACCAGCTCGCCTCGCAGCACCCGCAGCACGCCGTCATTCGTCAGCCCGCTCGCGATCACCGTCGTCACTCCCCCCATCGCCGCTTTCAAAGCCGCGTCCACCTTTGCGGTCATCCCGCCTCGTCCGACGCGCGATTTCTCGCCGAATTTGATCTCGTCCTGAGAATCTTTCACGTATGTGTTGATGAGCACTGAGTCGGGGTCGGACGGAGGTCCAGTGTAGAGGCCGTCGATGTCAGAGAGGAGAATCAAAGCGTCGGCTTCGAGTTCGAGAGATAGGAGCGCCGCAAGAGAGTCGTTATCCCAGAAGATTCCCGACGCATCCTTGTACGGCACGTGTCGCGTGGAAATTGCATCGTTCTCGTTAAATATGGGGACTACGCGATGGTCCAGGAGCGAATTCACGGTGCTACGAAGCTGATCGCGAAATTCCAGGTCCGCGAACTCCCGTTCGGTTACCAGCAGCTGAGCGCAGCCAACGTCAACCTGATGGAACAGCGACTCGTACAGTGACGTCAGCTCGCCCTGGCCAATAGCCGCGCAGGGCTTGCCTTCGAGCTCCGCCTGCGGCTTCTGAAGGTCCTTGAAGCTCGTCCGCATGAAGCCCTGGAAGCGAAGCTTCTGCCGGCCCACGCCGACGGACCCGCTGGTGACGATAATCACCTGGCGACCCTCGGATACAAGAGCCTCAACCTGTAAGCGTAAACAAAGAAGGAAATGAATTGAGCATTTACGAGGCAAATGACGGGTCTTCCCAGGAGAAAAGACATGAAGAAGGATCCGTTGGTGACAACGATGACCTTGCGGCACTCGGACAGGCGAGCCTGAATCTACGGGAAAGGAATATTGTTATTACTATTTTCTAATATAAAAAAATGGGCCATAAAGAAACGGTTTGAGCGTCCACAGGCAAAATTGTTGGCAATGGCGGAGGCAACCAGAAAAAGTGCTAGTGTTTTACCAATCTCCAGACACATACGGTTTTATTTTTGTGTTACTTACGCACCTCCTCGCAGAGACACCCGAGCCGGCCAACTGCAAGATGGCCATCCGGACGGGTGACGACGGCCGTGCCAAGCTGAGAGTCAAGGAGGAAGCAACAGAAGAGAGACATCAAATGCGGATCAACAGTGGTCTGTGAAGAAACGAGACTTAAAAAAAAAAGTCTTTAGTGCACATTGACAGTAGAATGAAGGTAGTTAAGGAAATGCGTAGTAGCGGTAAGTGACGAATGGCCACCTTGATGACGACGCGTCGAGCGTTCTTAAGCGCGTGCCGAGCAGCCGCTTCACCAGGAGAAGACATGATAATTCACAATGTAGATACTGTTAAAATTCGGTTTTGCGAGTTTTCCCGCAGCGTCGAACTGCAAAGAAAGCTTAGAGCCTGACGGCAAAGACCTTGGACAGTTAACTCTAAGCTAGCCACAGAACGACTGCCGAGTTAGGCTAATGGAGTGACACTGACTAGGATGAGGCAAACAGGCAGCATGTAACAAACAGGAATCCAGAGGCAGAGGACAGATATAGGATGGGTGGGACTGGGGGGTGGAAAATTCTGGGCCTGTATGGTATGACCTGCAGCTTGGCCGATGTTAGGGCGTGTTACATTTTCGATTTTTCCGCATTGTTCGGACAGTCACCACTCTAAAACGTTTAGAAACCCACTTGAACCAGTCGTTCTAAATATATACCACTTTGAACCGTTCTGACGGTCCGGTCCGTCAACACGCCCTTATGGCCTGAACTGTATTTCCATTCCAACGGTCTTTTCGAGATACTCCTAGAGATCTCCCCGGCTCTTGGGATTGCAGGGTGAACTAAGTCCCGCACAATGGGGGCCCTGGTGTGCATCTGGGTGGGTGTAGTAGGTTGGTTGACGGTCGGTGGTTTCGGAAGGAATCTTGCGGTGCTGTAGGCTGTTAAATGGTCATAGACGATTCTATAGGTTTTAGTGTGGTTCTTGTGGATGTGACAGGCTTGACTGGCTGGGTGGATATTCCCATGTTTGCCAGCGCACCGTTGACGGCCTGGCATCTGCAACTTTCCAGGTGCTTGAAAAACAATGTTTGTACATGTGTGCCAATTAGAATTCTCGTTATCCAGGTGACGTTCCACGTAGGATCCAGCTATGAAAGTTGACGTCAGCGTGGTCGTCTGATTTCCCGCCTTCAGAAATGGGAGCTGCCCTGTACAGAATGCTTCGACACAAAATACAGTTATTTACGAATTATACGTACACGCATTTCTATGTTGTGTATACAGTATCGCCGAGCGATGGAAGGTGGTGGTGTTGATTGGTTGAACGACAACCTCCAATCAGGTGAGGCACCCGATTATTGATTGACGAATCAGAGCGGCTTGAGTGAGGCAAAAGAAGCCTTCATTAGCGTGTGCGGTTCACATTATTCCTGTCTCAGCTTTCGGCTGCCAATAGGGCATAGTCGCCTCCAAAGTCGCTCTCGTTTTGCAGGAAACCTTGGGGTTCGGCGATTTTAGTGGGGCCGATCGCCACCATTTTCACCTCTCTTCCGTCCTGCTTTGGAGCCTCGAGTATTTTGCTTGGCCCGACCATTTTGCAGGGGTAGAGCGTTTTGCTTGTGCTAGTCGTCTCAAAGCTGTGATCATCTCGTCAGGGCTCTCTGATCCTCTAGGCTAGTGTTTTACGAACAAGCCTCTCAGTTATTCACGCTCAGAGGGATGTCGTCGCCAGGCGAGGCTGCCGCGCGCCTGGCGCTGAAAGGCGCTCGTCGGATCGTGATCAAGGTACGGCAAGCGCCAGGATAGTAAACTTCAGGATTCATGGCTCGTTTTGAGCGTAATATCTCAGCATCCATCGTTCTGGCAACAATGTAGGTTCCTAGCTTAATCGTGAGGTCTGTTTTCTGATCATTTTCCTGCATTTTGTTTTCTCGACATTTTTCTGATTATCCTCCGCTTTTTCTTCCTTAACACCTCGCGCGCGTTCATACCCCCCACTTTCAAAATTTGTCTCAGGTGGGAACGGCTGTTGTGACGCGTTCAGATGGACGGCTCGCCCTCGGGCGAATGGGGTCGCTCTGCGAAGCGGTGAGCCATGCGATAATCATTCTTTCTAGTTCATTTTGAATGCAGCCCTGACAGTAGAGTAGGAGTATGTCCTCATATTGCAGCCTCTGGTCCAGCGGTACTTGAACGAGTGGGGACTTCTGCGAAATGATGCGTCATACAGTAAATACGTTGTGTCGAGTCTGTGAAAGTCTGTAACAAGTAGTGAGAACAAAAGAAAATAGAAAATTAACGCAAGCGAATCAGAATAATGGCGTCGTTGCTTTTCAAACCTACTTTACTCTTCAAGCTAACTTCCACGTTTTTTTCTTTGTACGAGCAGATTGAGACGCTCGTATCGGACGGCAGGGAGGTGATTCTGGTGACAAGTGGCGCGATCGGAGTGGGCCGGCACAAGCTGCGCTTCCAGCGCTTCATGCGCACGAGCTTCAAGGACCTGCAGCGCCCGCAGGGGGACGACATTGACGGCAAGCCGTGCGCGGGCATCGGGCAGGGCCAGCTCATGGCTCTCTACGAGTCCTTGTTTAACCAAGTGGACGTTGGGTGTGCCCAGGTAGGCTCTCTGGATCTCTCAGGCAGGAATGAAGGGTAGATGTGGGGGCTGTGGACCGGAGGGATGGGGTGCAAAGAGCGCTTCATTTCATGCGCACGAGCTTCAAGGATCTGCAGCGCCTGCAGGGGGACGACATTGACGGCAAGCCGTGCGCGGGCATCGGGCAGGGCCAGCTCATGGCTCTTTATGAGTCGCTCTTCAACCAAGTGGACGTTGGGTGCGCTCAGGTAGGCTTTCAAACATGACTCATAACAAGTTCTGTGGGTGCGTGCGGCATTGGGCGGGGCCATCTCATGGCGCTCTACGAGTCCTTGTTTAACCAAGGGGACGTTGGGTGTGCCCAGGTAGGCTCTCTTGTATGTAGATCCGTTATGGGACGTCTTGAAACGAAGCAGTGTGAAACAAGCCGTGCGCCGGCATCGGGGAGGGCCAGCTCATGGCGCTCTACGAGTCGCTCTTCAACCAAGTGGACGTTGGTTGCACGCAGGTAGGCTTTCGTGATTGTAGACTCGTTATAACATGACTCAAAACAAGTCCTGTTCGTGCGGGCAGGGCCAGCTCATGGCTCTCCACTCTACGAGTCGCTCTTCAACCAAGTGGACGTTGGTTGCGCGCAGGTAGGCTCTTTTGAGGGTCCTTGAGGGGCTTCAAGCCTAGAGCATATTCTTTAGAAGTGAATTGGCCAGGGCCAGCTCATGGCTCTCTACGAGTCCTTGTTCAACCAAGTGCACGTTGGGTGCGCGCAGGTAGGCTTTCGTGAATGTAGACTCGTAATAACATGACTCTAAACAAGCCATGTGCGTACTATGCACATCGGCCAGGGCCAGCTCATGGCTCTCTACAAGTCGCTCTTTAACCATGTCGACGTTGGGTGCGCGCAGGTGTGTTGTATTGAAAGTCGTTGATGGCACGTCTCCCTGCAGTAGTGTCCTCCCTGCTTCCCTGAGTTTTTGACTCCTCACCCTCCCCACTCCCCCATCCCACCACCACCACCTACACCGTTTCCCATAACCCACCTCACAGTTGCTGGTTACGGAGTGTGACTGTACTAACCTGCACTTCGGCAACCAGCTGCGCACCACAGTCTCTTCCCTGATTTCCTGTGCGCCTAGTGAGGCTTACTCAATGTACCCTCCGCACTTCCCCTCACCCCTTCAACAGCTGCTGGTCACTGAACGGGACTTCACGGACCTGCAGTTCCGCAACCAGCTGCGCACCACAGTCTCTTCCCTGCTGTCCCATGCCACCCCAGGCACTGACCCCACCCCACCACCCCCACTCCCACATCCCATGTGACAGTTGCTGGTGACGGAGCGTGACTTCACGGACTTGCAGTTCCGCAACCAGCTGCGCAGCACCGTCTCCTCCCTGCTGGACCACCGCGTGGTGCCGGTTTTCAATGAGAACGATGCCATTTCCACCCGCGTTGCCCCCTACAAGGACGCCACAGGTGAGCTGGCTGGTTGTCTGGTTGTTAGGGAGAGCTGCATGCATGCGTGTATGCCCATTGCCCACCCACAGCTTCACCACCACAGTCAGTGTCCTCCCTGCTGGACCACCGCGTGGTGCCGATGTTCAACGAGAACGACGCCATCTCCACCCGCATAGCACCTTACAATCGCGCCACTGTTAAGTTGTAATCTGTTTACACACACAGTCCCATCACCAATGTCAGTCTCCTCCCTGCTGGACCACCGTGTGGGGTGTTGCTGGTATTCCCCCCCCCTCGAACTTGCAGGTATCTTTTGGGACAACGACTCCCTGGCTGCGCTGCTCTCTCTTGAACCGCAAGCAGATGCGTGTGTGCCGCTGTCAGACATCGAGGGGCTCTACACCAAGCCCACTTCCCCCCCACCCCCTCAACCCCACTCCTCCCTACCCCGCCCCATTCCTCCCTTGCCTCTCACTCACAAGTATCTTCTTGGACAACGACTCCCTTGCAGCACTTCTATCCCTGGAGCTCCAGGCAGACGCGTGTGTGCTGCTGTCAGACATCGAAAGGCCCTACACCAAGCTTACTTTCCCCTGCCTGCTCTACTTTCTCGCCCCCCCCCCCCCCCCCCACCCCTCCTTCATGCTCCCGCACGCAGGTATCTTCTGGGACAACGACTCTCTTGCAGCTCTCCTATCGCTGGAGCTCCAGGCAGACGCGTGTGTGCTACTGTCAGACATCGAGGGGCTCTACACCAAGCCACTTTCCTCTCCCCCTCCCAACCCTCCCCTTCCTCCTCCCCCACCCTTCCTTTGTGCTCTCGCTGGCAGGTATCTTCTGGGACAATGACTCCCTGGCGGCTCTCCTCTCGCTAGAGCTCCAGGCAGACGCGTGTGTGCTGCTGTCAGATATCGAGGGGCTCTACACCAAGCCGCCCTGGGACCCTGACTCGGAGCTCATCCACACCTACGTGCCGAGCGTGCATGGAGATTCCATCAAGTGGGTATACAGGATGGGTGAGGTGGAGATTGTGGAGGGTTTAGGGGTTAGGTGTTTGGTTTCAGGGCTCGAGGGTGCAAGAAGAATCCCACCAAGCCCCCCTGGCCCCTGGGACCCTGACTCGGAGCTCATTCACACCTACGTGCCGAGCGTGCATGGAGACTCGATCAAGTAAGCTCAGTGGGTTAACAGGGGAGAGGCCTCAGTGTCCAGGGTTTAGGCGGGGTTTAGGGGTAAGGTCTGTCTGGGAAGCAATGCAAGCAGACACCAGCTGGCCGCCCCGGGCCCTGACTCGGAGCTCATCCATACCTACGTGCCGAGCGTGCATGGAAATTCCATCAAGTGCGTGTATCGGGTGTACAAGGAAGGAGAATCTAGAGCTTAGATCTCAAGAGTTGGGTTTTGTGGCTTGGGATGCGAGCAGACTCGTTGGTAGCGCCCTGGGACCCTGACTCGGAGCTCATCCACACCTCCGCTCCCCCCAAATCTGCCAGGTTCGGCCAGAAGAGTCGGCTGGGTTGCGGCGGAATGACAGCCAAGGTGGAAGCAGCAATCCACGCATCCGGTAGCGGCGTGCCCACAGTGATCGCTGGCGGGCTGGTTTACTGACAGCCCTTCTCCCTCCCCACCCACCAAATCTTCCAGGTTCGGCCAGAAGAGTCGGCTGGGTCGCGGCGGCATGACAGCCAAGGTGGAAGCAGCAATCCACGCATCTGGAGGCGGTGTGCCCACAGTCATAGCCAGTGGCCTGTCAAGCGATGCGGTGCTGCGGGTGCTTTCAGGGGAGATGGTCGGCACGCTCTTTCACAAGGACGCTCACCTGTGGGCCGTGTCTAAGTCTGTCAAGAGCGCTGGCAGGGACATGGCTGTTGCTGCCAGGGATGCCAGCCGGAAGCTGCAGGTGAGGAGAGCTCTGTAGGTCAGGGGGCTTAGTTTGGGGGTGCAGGGTTTTCGGTCGAGTGGTGAGGCACAGGGGTGCCCACAGTCATAGCCAGTGGCCTGTCGAGCGATGCGGTGCTGCGGGTGCTTTCAGGGGAGATGGTCGGCACGCTCTTTCACAAGGACGCTCACCTGTGGGCCGTGTCTAAGAGCGTGAAGAGCGCTGGGAGAGACATGGCTGTTGCTGCCAGGGACGCCAGCCGGAAGCTGCAGGTGAGGAGGGTGTGGTGGGTGGGGTTGAGGGTTTGGCATTCGAGCAAGGCGCTGCTTCGAGTGCTTTCAGGGGAGATGGTCGGCACTCTCTTCCACAAGGACGCTCATCTGTGGGCCGTGTCTAAGTCTGTCAAGAGCGCTGGCAGGGACATGGCTGTTGCTGCCAGGGGTTAGGGTTTTAGGCTAGTGCTTAACCCCGCCCCGCCTCCCATCCCCGACTCTGCTATTTAGGCTCTGACCCCGGAGCAGCAGAAGCAAGCATTATGTGTGTACCCCGACCCGCTCCTCCACCCCATCCCATCCCCCAACCCCTCCGCTGCTGCTATTCGGGCTCTGACCCCAAAGCAGCGCAAGCAGGTTCTCTTAGATGTGGCCGATGCACTGGTGAAACGAGAGGCTGATTTCCCAACCCCATTCCCAACCCCATTCTTAACCCCCTTCCCTACTCCACTTCCAGGCTCTGAGCACGGAGCAACGCAAGCAGGTGTTGTTGGACGTGGCGGATGCGCTGGTGAAGCGAGAGGCGGAGATTGGCCTTTTCCGCATTCCACTAAGCTATCTTGGTAGCCTCCTTTCCCCACCGTGACCCCATCCACAGGCTCTGACTACAGAGCAGCGCAAGCAGGTTCTTTCGGATGTGGCGGATGCGCTGGTGAAGCGAGAGGCGGAGATCGTGGTGCAGAACACCCACTTGCCAATAAATTTCCCGCCGCCTCCCCACCCCTGCCCCACCGTTTCCAACCCCTCTCCTGCTATCCAGGCTCTGAGCACGGAGCAGCGCAAGCAGGTGTTGCTAGACGTGGCGGATGCTCTGGTGAAGAGAGAGGCGGAGATTGTGGAGCAGAACGCCCACGACGTACGGACGTCTGAGATCAACGGCGTTGCACCGGCGCTGCTGCAGCGGCTGAAGCTGAAACCGAATAGGGTGAGTTGAGGTTGAGAGAGAACAAGCGGGTGAGTGGAGGGGAAGGAATAGAATGAGCGAACAGAACGCTCACAATGTTCCCGGCGGCCGAGGTCAACCGCGTTGCACGGCCCTGCTGCAGCGGCTGAAGCTGAAATCTAAATGGGTGAGTGGATGGCAAAAGGAGAGAGTGAGTGGAGGCGGGCAAGGGAGTGTCCACCTGGTGGGAACCAGACTCTTGCTCTGATTTCGTCCATTCTCAGCTGCTATTGCAGGGCATTTCAATCGACGTATGGCTGAAAGGCCAAACTCCCTCATCTGCACCACTGACTCATGCCCCTCCCGCCCCCTCCCCCCTCCCCCCACCCGTCCACTCTCCCTCCCGTCTCTCTCATCTATCGCCGTCCTTAATTGCCTTGCAGATTCAACAGCTAGCAGAGGGCATTCGGGCGATTGCTGAGATGCCTGATCCGATAGCAGAGACGCTGGCTCGCACAGAGGTGCGTGGGTGTGGTGGGGAAGGGAGCGGGAGGGAGGGGGAATGGGGTTTGCGGGAACGGATGTCATGGTGTTTCACTGTGCTGCATGCAACAGTGATGCCTGACCTGACCTGACCTGACCTGACCTGACCTGACCTGACCTGACCTGACCTGACCTGATATCAGACATGCTGTCTCGAGCAAAGTCGCTGGCTCTACCCTTGCGTTGCAGAGGGGCTGAACAAATGAATCGACTCAATAGTTTGCTCTCATTTTCCTTCTCACTCTCTGCCCTTGCGTTTTATGTTCGCAGCTTGCAGAGGGGCTGAACCTGGAGAAGCAGAGGTGGCCACTGGGAGTGCTGCTGGTGATCTTTGAAGCTCGCCCTGACGCCATGCCGCAGGTGAGAATTTGCATACGGATACCATGTGCAATGCCGCAGGTGAGAGGGGTGATGCCACGTCATCACATCTACCCTGGCATCGTTTTTGCTGCTGAGAGCATGCCTATCCTCTGTTGTCGTTTTCTCAGGAACAAGCAATGTCTCTCCCACCATCTTGTTCCCTTGTGGCTTCCCAATCGGCCTGCTTACAAGGAAAGGGAGGCCGCATAATCTCTTTCTTCTCCCTCCTCCCTCCATTTCCTTCTCCCTCCTCCCTCCATTTCCTTCTCCCCCATCTCTCCCACCGCCCATCCCTGCGCTGGCCTTCTCAGATTGCAGCGCTGGCGATTCGCAGCGGCAACGGGCTGCTGCTCAAGGGAGGCAAGGAGGCACTCAACTCCAACCGCATCATCCACGAGGTGAGCTCCACGCGTGTGGTAACCAGATGCCAGCGGTAACTGTTGTGAGATAATTAATGAAATACTAGAGTCTGAGGCCAGCTAAGTAAGCCAACATGAGTAATCCATGGGAGTATACAGTTATTGGTGGTATCATGACCTTAAATCGCTGCAGCTACTCAGTTGGTACTCAGTTGATCATACACTATGCCCCAGGTGATTGCCTCCGCCCTGCCACCGGAGGTGGGCCCCTCACTTATTGGCCTCGTCACTTCACGCGACGACATCTCGGATCTGCTGAAGCTGCTTCCCTCCTGTCTCACTCACCCCTCCATATCTCCGTCCCACTGCTAACAGGTGATCGCCTCAGCACTCCCCCCAGAAGTCGGCCCCTCACTCATAGGCCTCGTCACTTCACGCGACGACATCTCGGATCTGCTGAAGCTGGACGACGTGATCGACCTGGTGATTCCGCGCGGCAGCAACGCGCTGGTGAATCATATCAAATCGCACACCAAGATTGCGGTGCTGGGCCATGCGGATGGCGTGTGCCACGTGTACGTGGACAAGGCAGCCAACCTCAAGATGGCCAAACGGATCATATTGGATGCCAAGATGGACTATCCCGCTGCCTGCAACGCCATGGTGAGCGGTAGGGAGAGGGAGAAAAAGGGGAGAGGGGATTGGAGGGAGGGAGTGGGTGGGGGGAGGGGGGGGGCACGAGGGAGTGGGAAAGTGGTGGGGAAGGGAGGGAGGAAGGGAGGGAAGGAGAGGGTTTAGAGGGCAGGGAGGGACCATGCGGATGGCGTGTGCCACGTGTACGTGGACAAGGCAGCCAACCTCAAGATGGCCAAACGGATCATATTGGATGCTAAGATGGACTACCCGGCTGCCTGCAATGCGATGGTGAGATATGCAGCTTAGTTGTTTACACATGTGGCAAGGGGGATGCCAAACGGATCGTGCACAATGCCAAGATAGACCACCCCGCTGCCTGCATCGCGATGCTGTGATACACAATGCATGAAATATTTTCATCCATACGATTGGATGCATTTGTTCCCGTTTGTTGCACCCTTCACAGAAAGCTCCTCTAAATGATGGGGTAATGCGTCATATGTCTCATGTGCTTGTTTTTTCAATTTCTTTCCTTGTGCTGCACCCGTAATAGGAAACCCTGCTACTCCACGAGGAGCTGGTGAAGTCGGGAGCTGCAGCGGAGCTCATTCAAGAGCTCAAAGACAATGGTGAGTTCATAGCAACACTTATGGAGTTCTGAGTTGGCTCGACAATGGGGCGTATAGCACTGATGGAAATACCCATTTGGAGTAATTCCATAAGCACATTGCAATGTGTGCAAAAACAAGCGTAGTGGTATTCCTGTATAGCATCGCACTCCCTACCTCACTGCCTCTTTCCCTTCCCTACACAGGCATAGTCCTCCCTGCAGGCGCGACCGCGGCTTCTCCCTTCTCCTTGCCTCAGGCCCCCACCTTGCATCACGAGTACGGGTCGCTGGAATGTACGGAGGAGACTGGTGTGTGTTCCTGTGGATTCACCCTTTCTCCCCACCTGTATGCAGGCATAGTCCTTCATGCAGGCACGACCGCAGCCCCCACCTTCTCCCGCCTGCAGCAGCGAAATCTCCACCACGAGTACGGGTCGCTGGAATGTACGGTGGAGATTGTGCCAGACAGTGGGAGTTCCCTGCTTATCAGTGTGTCTCGTGTCCCTTCCACCCCATTCTCCCCACCCGCATTCAGGCATAGTCCTTCATGCGGGCACGACTGCAGCGCCTGCCTTCTCCCTGCCTCTGGCAGCGAATCTGCACCACGAGTACGGGTCGCTGGAATGTACGGTGGAGATCGTGCCGGATATTGACGCGGCCATCCACCACATCCACACGCACGGCAGCGCGCACACCGACGCCATTGTCACCGAGGACCAGGAAGCCGCAAAGAAGTTTCTGGCGTCGGTGGACAGTGCGGTCGTGGTGCACAACGCCAGCACTCGCTTCTCCGACGGCTTCCGCTTCGGGCTCGGCGCCGAGGTGAGTTGGATGGGAGCGGAGAGTGGGGAGGGGAGATGCTAGGGACTGTTGTGCTGCAAGACAAGACAATGCTTCTCCGATGGTCTGCTTTTGTGCTAGGGACTCAAAAGCTAGGGACTGTTGTGCTGCAATACAATGCTTCTCCGACGGCGGCTTCCGCTTCGGGCTCGGCGCCGAGGTGAGATAACAAGAAGAGAGAAAGAGTAAACATATGTTTGCTAAATTGACATCTTCGGGCTCGGGCGCCGAGGTGAGGGGAGGGGGAGAGAGGGGGGCTTGGGGACTAGTAGAATAGAGACAGGGTTGCTTTCAGAGGGCCTTTGCATCGAGCTAATTTCTGCCCTCCTGCACTTTCTCTCGTGCAGGTGGGCATCAGCACGAGCCGCATCCATGCGAGAGGGCCTGTCGGGGTGGAGGGGCTCCTCACAACGCGCTGGTTGCTGAGAGGTGACGGGCATCTAGTCAACAAGGATAAGGATATCGTCTACACCCATAAAGCACTCCCTATAATTGAGTAGAAAATGCATCGTGTTACATAATGATGAGTAGTGGGATCTAGTTACCTCAACTAGGTGCTGAGGGGTGCAAACAGGTGCTAGAGTGGCGTTATGGACACCCAAAAATGCCCTTCTTCTGAATTAGTGGAATGTCACACTTCAACTGACCAGTGCAATGGTAGCTCTGGACGATTTTCTTACCACTTTTTCTTGATGCGGTTTCCTTTGAAGTGTTGAGCTGCCTGTACTGTACACAGTACCGAGCTCGCTCTTACGCTGTACAAGCTTCCCACTCGTGAATTTGGCGAGAATATCTGGATGCATGCTCTCGACCTTCAGTTCACTCGTTCGTTTCCGGACGAGGTTGCACATCCATTCTTAGAGAGATCGACGGTTCGAAACACATTCGAGTCTGACCATACCGCGTACAAATCCAGAATTCACCATTTTTGAGTTCAGTGGGAGTGGCGCATGTACAGCTGAAACGGCTTTGTAGCACACGTGTGGCTACTTGTTGCTAGTACTCCTCTCGTCGGGAAGGCTACGAGCCGTGTGATATCCTAGCACTACTAGCCATGGCTGCTTCCGTCGCCTCTTCCTCCGCCGCCATTTTGACGAATCAAGGGGCTCGGCTAATCGCGCGCGCAATTTCTTCGTCGAAGTGCGTTCGTTTCCTTCCTAAGCAGTTTCCGTATTCTCTCTCGTTACCTCGAGTTACGCGTTTATCGCACCGCGTTTATCGCGAAGCTTTCCCGCGTGCCTTTTTATCTGAATCGAGAGTTCGCATCGTGGCATGCCACGTGTCAATATTATATTTTTCGTCTTCCATCTACTGTGTTCCGTCCCTTCATTCGTGTCACCCTGCCATGTAGGACCTTATCCGGCGCCTCCCTGAGTGCCGATCGCGTGCCTCTGCCACGTGTCACAACGCGAGGGATTTACGGCAAGGCCAGGCTGGCAGTGATGGCTCAGGCTAAGATCGCAGCAGCGGCAGCGGCAGCGGCGGCCACGGAACCTCTGAGTGCGGGCTCGCCCCCTCCTGCTCTCTTTGACGGCACCACGCGGTGAGTTTTAGTAGGTCAACGCAAGTCAACGCCAGTCATGGCAAGGCCAGGCTGGCAGCTATGGTTCAGGCTATGGTTCCAGCAGCGGCATCGGCGGCCGCGGAGCCTCTGAGTGCGGGATTGCCCGCTCCTGCCCTCTTTGACGGCACCACCGGTGAGTCAACGCAGGTCAACGCAGGTTAACGCAATCCAAGAGGGACGTGGCGGCCACGGAGCCTCTGAGTGCGGGATCGCCGCCGCCTGCCTTGTTTGACGGCACCACGCGGTGAGTCAACGCAAGTCAACGCTAGCCACCGCAATTCAATAGGGACGTGGCGGCCACGGAGCCGCTGAGTGCGGGATCGCCCGCTCCTGCTCTCTTTGACGGCACCACACCGTGAGCATTGCTCCGTCAACGCAGGTCAACGCTATTCAACAGGAAACTTGGTTGCTACGGAGCCTGAGTGTGGAATCGCCCGCTCCTGCTCTCTTTGACAGCACCACGCGGTGAATTGGACAACAGTGAATGGGACATAGCCAACACATGTCGACGGTAGGCAACTCTCAGGTTCAAGCAACTATAGCCAATGGCCCATCAGTTCAGCGACCAATTACAAGAATCCTCCCTTATCCCCGTTTCCCTTGCCCCCCTCCAGCCTATACCACTACAAGGCGTGTCCCTTTGCTCAACGGGCAGTGATTGCCGTCAACTACAAGGTGAGCTGCCTGAAAATGTTACTTATAGTAACTAAAGCTTCCAATTAATTACTATTATATTATTTGTTAAGAGCAATTTCATTACAGCATATAATCTTTCTACCAATGTGTACTCCTCTCCACGTATCTCCTCATCCTAACAGGGTCTTGATTTTATCGAGCGAGTGGAGATCAGTCTTCGCAGCAAACCTGAATGGTAAGCACACACTGGATGATTCTTCTTGGTATATCAGTCCCTTGCTGCTGCTGCTGCTGCCGTGGCTGCTGGTTACCACATGGGTCCCACCAATTACCCACAGGGTCTTGATTTCATCAAACGAGTGGATATGAGTCTTCGCAGCAAGCCTGAATGGTATGCCTTGCACACTGGATGAAAGTCTTGTTTCAAGTGTGTGTGTGTGTGTGTGTGTGTGTGTGTGTGTGTGTGTGTGTGTGTGTGTGTGTGTGTGTGTGTGTGTGTGGAAACGTGATTGCCGGCACTTACGGAACAGCTTTTTGAGTCGCGGCGTCAAGAATTGACTTGTGAGTCGCGGCGTCAAGAATTGACTTGTGAGTCGCGGCGTCAAGAATTGACTTGTGAGTCGCGGCGTCAAGAATTGACTTGTGAGTCGCGGCGTCAAGAATTGACTTGTGAGTCGCGGCGTCAAGAATTGACTTGTGAGTCGCGGCGTCAAGAATTGACTTGTGAGTCGCGGCGTCAAGAATTGACTTGTGAGTCGCGGCGTCAAGAATGGTCTTGTGAGTCGCGGCGTCAAGAATTGACTTGTGAGTCGCGGCGTCAAGAATTGACTTGTGAGTCGCGGCGTCAAGAATGGTCTTGTGAGTCGCGGCGTCAAGAATTGACTTGTGAGTCGCGGCGTCAAGAATTGACTTGTGAGTCGCGGCGTCAAGAATGGTCTTGTGAGTCGCGGCGTCAAGAATTGACTTGTGAGTCGCGGCGTCAAGAATTGACTTGTGAGTCGCGGCGTCAAGAATTGACTTGTGAGTCGCGGCGTCAAGAATTGACTTGTGAGTCGCGGCGTCAAGAATTGACTTGTGAGTCGCGGCGTCAAGAATTGACTTGTGAGTTGCGGCGTCAAGAATTGACTTGTGAGTCGACTCAAAAGTGATTGCCGGCACTTACGGAACAGCTTTTGAGTCGCGGCGTCAAGAATGGTACGCTCGCACTGGATGAGAGTTTTGAGACGTCTCAAAAGAACGGTACGCTCGCACTGGATGAGAGTTTTGAGACGTCTCAAAAGAATGGTACGCTCGCACTGGATGAGAGTTTCGTTTCTATTGTGTGGCAACGTGGTTGCTGGCATTTGAGAAACAGAGGCCTGCGCGATTTTTCAAACATCTCCCTAGCAATCTAGCACGGAAGTTGGTGTAACAGGGGCTTGGATCGTCTATGGCTGCTGCTGATTCTTCTGGTCATATCACTTGAAATGATTTGGTGTCATCGGTTATAATATCACCACACCCCACCCACTCCCACAGGTACACGGAGAAGGTGTATCCGCCAGGCAAGGTGCCTGCCATGGAGCATGCAGGGAAGGTGGTGGGGGAGAGAGCTTGGACCTGCTGCTGCTGGTTACCACATAGGTCTCACTGGTTACCATGCCTATCCGCCCTGCCCCTTCCACCCACACCCCTCCCCCCCCACCCACCCACTCCCACAGGTACACGGAGCAGGTGTATCCGCCAGGCAAGGTGCCTGCCATGGGAAGGCGGTGGGTGAGAACCTGGAAGCCTCTGAGACAGCTGCCGCTTCTGGTTACCATGTTACTGGTTTGATAATCTCCACTCCCCTCCCACCCACTCCCACAGGTACACGGAGAACGTGTATCCGCCAGGCAAAGTGCCTGCCATGGAGCACGCAGGGAAGGTGGTGGGGGAGAGCTTGGATCTGCTTCTGCTGATTGACGAGTGGTTCGGCGACAAGGGACCGAGGATTGTGCCTGAGGTGAGTACAAGTTGAGGTTATTTGCTACAACGGAAGGTGGTGGGAGAGAGCTTGGACCTGCTTCTCCTGCTGATTGATGAGTGGTCGGGCGACAAGGGACCGAGGATTGTGCCTGAGGTGAGTACTGGCAATACGTACAGGGTATGTGGTACAAGAGAAGGGAATCTGAGGCAGTAGGTCTTGGGGTAGAGCCCGGACCTGCTGCTGCTGATTGACGAGTGGTTCGGTGACAAGGGACCGAGGATTGTTCCTCCTGAGGTACGGACTGGCATGGGAACAGTGTGGGTTTTGTGTCACGAGCGAAGGGGATCGGAGGTGGTGGTGGGGGAGAGCTTGGACCTGCTTCTGCTGTTGTTGATTATTGAGTGGTTCGGTGACAAGGGACTGAGGATTGTACCCGAGGTTAGTACAAGTTCAGGTTATGTGCTTAAAGGGAAGGGAGCTGGTCTGATAGACTGTGGGGGAGAGCTTGGACCTGCTGCTGCTGATTGACGAGTGGTTCGGTGACAAGGGACCGAGGATTGTTCCTGAGGTGAGTAGTGGCGTTCGTATAGCGCTTTGGGTGCTAGGCATGGGAAGGTGAGAAAACGATTTGGACCTGCTGCTGCTGATTGACGAGTGCTTTGGTGACAAGGGACCGAGGATTGTGCCTGAAGTTAGTGCAGGTGTAGGTTATGTGTTACAAGGAAAGGTAGTGGGGGAGAGCCTGGACGTGCTTCTGCTGCTGATTGATGAGTGGTTTGGCGACAAGGGGCCAAAAATTGTGCCTGAGGTGAGTAGTGGAATGACATGGCAAGGCAAGGCAACAAATGCAGGTTCTGTGCAGCAGATGAGGACACCATGGTGGCTGGGGACTCTGCTCTCTCCCACCTCTGCAAATTCCTCCCACTGTGTGTGTAACCAGGACCCCGCCCTGGCAGCAGAGGCATCAGCACTTGTAGCAGCGTGTGGCGATATGATGATGGCTGGATACTCGTCTCTCTCCCACTTCCACCCCTCCCTCCCACTGTGTGTGTATTTACTGCTAACCTCACTGCAGGATCCCACCCTGGCAGCAGAGGCATCAGCGCTGAATACTCGTAGCAGCAGAGGCATGGATACTCGTATCAGCAGAGGCATCAGCGCTTGTAGCAGCGTGCGGGGACTTGATGACGGCTGGATACTCGTCTCTCTCCCACCCACCTCTATCACACCCCTCCCACTGCGTGTGTTCTCTCTTCACCTGCCTGCCTATCCCAATGCCAGAATGCATGCAGGATCCTGCTCTAGGAGCAGAGCCTGCTCTATCACACCCCTCCCACTGCGTGTGTCCTCTCCTGACCTGCCTGCCAACCGCCATGCATGCAGGACCCTGCCCTGGCAGCAGAGGCATCAGCGCTTGTAGCAGCGTGTGGTGACGTGATGATGGCTGGATACACGGCTCTCTCGCAGCTCTATCAGACAGGCGGCGAGGCGGAAGTGGAGGCTGCAATGGGTGAGAGATAGGTGCATGGCATCGTACGTGTGTGAGGGTGCAAGGCTTTGCATTTGTTGTTTGGCATTTTTGCATATCTATCAGACAGGCGGCGAGGCAGAAGTGGAGGCTGCTATGGGTGAGAGTTATGTGCATGGGATGCTATGGTATGGTACGTGTGACAACCTTACCATCATATCTTGTTGAAGTGTATAAGGTAAAATTCGACAAATTGTTTAATTTCCCAAGGACCCAGATCACGCATGGTGAGAAACAATATACGCTTGGATGTAGGAGCAGTGCAATTGAAGCTGCTCAGCTGAATGATACAATTTCCTACAGTTTGGTGTACGTTTCCTGACAGATGTTTTCATACCTTTGTTGCCCACTAAACTACCTAGTCTAGGCTATCAATTTTTTTTTTTTCTGTTATCCTTGTGCCATGTCATCATCTCATGTCCGTCAGGACCACATCTAGACTCCATAGAGGCGAGCCTGGGCAAGCACCAAGGGAGTGGGCTGAGTTGACTTTTGAGCCGACTAAAAAACCACGGTTATTTTTTCTCGTTAATTGCTGTGCCATGTCATCTTCTCGTGCCCATCAGGATCGCATCTAGACTCCTTAGAGGCGAGTCTGGGCAAGCACCAGGAGAATGGGCCCTTCTTTCTAGGAAGCTTCTCATACGTAAGTCTCTAAACCAAACCAGTGTCACATCTTGGCAGGGGTCCTATGCCTCCATATAATGCCATATGTGAATGTTAGCTCTATTAGTTTTATGTGTCGTAGCATGCTCTAATAGTCATACTTCACGAGGCTCAAAACGAGGAAACACCTATCTTCTCGAGGTGCTTTCTTCGTTTTCTTCCATCGCCTATCTTCCCTTTTCGGAGCGACTTCCTCACAAAAATCATTTGGCGCAGTCGCCTTCAAGCTCGTGAACTAACTATACCACAAGGTTTTTTTCATAACCTCATTCAGTACCCCGTTTCCCCCATCAATGCGTCCACCACTTAAATCGTTTCCCCCATCAATGCGTCCACCACTTTTGAGGCGCCTCAAAAATCGTTTCCCCCATCAATGCGTCCACCACTTTTGAGGCGCCTCAAAAATCGTTTCCCCCATCAATGCGTCCACCACTTTTGAGGCGCCTCAAAAATCGTTTCCCCCATCAATGCGTCCACCACTTTTGAGGCGCCTCAAAAATCGTTTCCCCCATCAATGCGTCCACCACTTTTGAGGCGCCTCAAAAATCGTTTCCCCCATCAATGCGTCCACCACTTTTGAGGCGCCTCAAAAATCGTTTCCCCCATCAATGCGTCCACCACTTACCCCCATCCACCTATTCCACTCTCACTCTTCCTATCTTTCCAGGTTGACATCGCTTATCTGCCCTTCCTAGATCTGTTTCGCATTGCATTTCACCATTTCTGCCGCACTGCCATCACCAAGGAGAGATACTCCTCTGTTGCTTCCTCCTCAGCACAGCCCTTCCATCCCCCACCCTCTCTCTCCCCTCCCTTCCCCCACCAGGTGGACATTGCCTATCTGCCCTTCCTGGAGCGATTCAATATCACCTTTGACCATTTCTGGCGCACAGACATCACCCAGGGGAAGTGCTCGTATGTTTGTTCCTCCTCAGCACAGCCCCTCGCCCCACCCTTCATCCCCCCTCCCTTCCCCCATCAGGTAGACATCGCCTATCTGCCCTTCCTGGAGCGGTTCCGCATCGCCTTTGACCATTTCTGCTGCACCAACATTACCCAGTGCCTCGTTTGCCTCCCCCACCAGACCTGTCGTCTCCTCATACTCTCTGTCTGCCTCTTGAGTCGACTCAAAAGTCGTTTGCCTCCCCCACCAGACCTGTCGTCTCCTCATACTCTCTGTCTGTCTCTTGAGTCGACTCAAAAGTCGTTTGCCTCCCCCACCAGACCTGTCGTCTCCTCATACTCTCTGTCTGTCTCTTGAGTCGACTCAAAAGTCGTTTGCCTCCCCCACCAGACCTGTCGTCTCCTCATACTCTCTGTCTGTCTCTTGAGTCGACTCACCTTTTGAGTCAGACAGAGAAGGTGAGGAGAGTCGACTCAAAAGTCACCTCTGTGGGGTGCAGTCTCTCTACACCAGTGACAGGGCGCTGTAGCACTTTTGAGTCAGACAGAGAAGGTGAGGAGAGTAGACTCAAAAGTCTACTCTCTGTCTGTCTCTCCTCACTTCCTCAGGTGGACATCGCCTATCCGCCTGCCCTTCCTGGGGCGGGTCCGCGTCGCCTTTGAGCACTTCTGCCGCACTGACATCCATCCGTCACCCCTCCCCTCCCCACCAGGTGGGCATTGCCCATCTGCCCTTCCTGGAGTGGTTCCGCGTCGCCTTTGACCATATCTGCCGCACAGACATCACCAAGGTCGTCTGGCTGCCGTGCACCGTTTCCTGATCCAAGTCCAACCTCTCCCCCCCCTCCCCCACTCCATCCCTCCCTCCAGGTGGACATCGCCTATCTGCCCTTCCTGGAGCGGTTCAAGATCGCATTTGACCATCTCTGCCACACAGACATCACCAAGGGGATATGTTCTGTTTCTTCAGCACAGCCTTTCCATGCCCCACCCTTCATCTCCCTCCCCTCCAGGTGGACATTGCCTATCTGCCCTTCCTGGAGCGATTCAATATCGCGTTCGAGCACTTCTGCCACACAGACATCACCAAGGGCCGCCCCAACCTGCAGCGCTGGTTTGAGGTACGATCGGAGGAGATGTAGTGCGGTGTGAGATGGTGTGAGGCGGTGGTTTGTTTTGGTGTGTAAGAAATTGCCTTCGTTATTTCTGCCACACTGACATCACCAAGGACCGCCCGAACCTGCAGCGCTGGTTCGTTCGGTGTGTAGCGATGGTGTGAGGTACACTGTGAGGCAGTGGTTTGGTGTGCGGTGTGATGCGGTGGAGTGGTTTGATGTATATGCTGTGAGGTGGTGGTTTGGTGTAGTGCATGCAAGTTCATTAGACCATTTCTGCCACACCTACTTCACCAAGGGTCACCCGAACCTGTCGCGCTGGTTTCAGGTACGTTTTGATGCGGTGTTACGCGGTGTGAGACGGTGGTGTGGCGTGCGGTGTGAGGCGGTGGTGTGGTGTGCGGTGTGAGGCGGCGGTTTGGTGTGCAGCAGTAAGAGTTGTGAGTACCTTTTACCTTTTCTTCCAAACTGACAGCACCAAGGGCCTCCTGAAACCTGCAGCGCTCGTTCAAGGTACGGTGTGAGGTGCTGTGATGCGGTGGTGTGGTGTGGTGTGGTTTTAGGGATATGCTGTGAGGCGGTGGTTTGGTGTAGCGCATGCAAGAGTGCATTTGACCATTTCTGCCGCACCGATATCCCAAGGGCCGGCCGAACCTGCAGCGCTGACTCGAGGTACGGTGTGAGGCGTATGTTTGGAGTGCGGCAGTCGGAAGTGTGGTGCTCCCTCCCCCCATATAGAGCGAGATGCCATCATTACTACTTACCTCTCATTCTGCTTCTTCTCCACTAATCTTCCTTTCCCTACCTCTCACCCCCTGCAGGCAGCAGCAAGCATGCAGACATAAACAGACACGTGCATGGAGCGAGATGCTATCATCACCACCCATCATCAGCACCCGCCTTTCTGCTCCCTCCCCCTTCTACCTTCTAATTTTCTCGTCTTCATGCATGCCGCAGCAAGCATCCAGGCATACACAGACACATGCATGGAGTGGGATGCCATCATCACTACCTGCCTTTCATGACTCTGCCCCCACCCCCCTTCTAATCTTGTACCCTCTAACCCTCTCTTCCTCTGCAGGCAGCAGCAACCGTCCAGGCATACGCAGACACATGCATGGAACGAGATGCCATCACCACCATCCGCCTCTTATCCATTGTTCTGCTCTCCTGAACTCCTCTCCTCCTTCGTCCTCTGCAGGCAGCAGCCACCATCCAGGCATAAACAGACACATGCATGGAGCGAGATGCCATCATCACTACCTACCATCCATGACCCTGCCCCCCCCCCTTGTAATCCTCTTGTACCCTCTAATCTTCTCTTCTTCACGCAGGCAGCATCCACCATCCAGGCATACGCAGACACATGCATGGAGCGAGATGCCATCATCACTACCTACCATTCATCCATTCTGCTCCAACTCCCCCCCCCCCTCCCCCCTCCATTTCCTCTCTAATTTCCAATGTTCTCTTCTTCCTGCAGGCAGCAGCGGCCATCCAGGCATACACAGACACATGCATGGAGCGAGAGGCCACCATCACTACCTATCAACAGATGCTGGTGCGTTGACCTGCCCACACATGCATGCATGGACGTGTAGGGTGCATGGGTGCATGGCGCGGGATGCCATCATCACTACCTACCAACAGATGCTGGTGTGTTGCAGTGCACATGCATGCATGGGCATGCTCGAGTGTGCATGTTCGTGCATGTTCGTGCATGTTCGTGCATGTTCGTGCATGGGTGCATGAGTGCATGGTTGTGCATGGGTGTTCATGGGTGCATGGGTGTCCATGGTTGCATGGGTGCATGGGTGCACGGATGCATGGGTTGAGGGATGCATGGGTGCATGGATGCATGGGTGTGCATGGGTGCGTGGGTGTGGATGGATGTGTGCGCATGGGTGCACGGGTGCATGGAGTAAGACGCCATCATCACCACCTACCAACATCTGCTGCTTGGTTGCATGGGTGAATGGGAGCATAGGCGCATGGATGCATGGTTGCATGGGTGCATGGGTGCATGCATGCATGGGTGCATGGAATGTGGGGTCATTGTGACAAGCTTCCAGGCATCTCAAGACGAGGTTCTGGTGCGTTGGTGTGCACATGATTGGGTGCATGAAATCTGGTTAGATGGCATGTTCCCATATAGCACACTCTCCTTTATGGCAATTTCCTATATAGCACATTCCTTCGTGACACTCTCTCCCATCTGGCACGCGCATGCACGTTTGCTCACATTGGTTTTGGGTTACAGGATAACAAGTACTTTGAGATAGCAGGGGTGGCAAGCTCAACAACTGCCGCACCAGCTGCAGCTGCTGAGACATAGTTGGGGGTTCTTAACGTGTTCTGGTGTTCTGATGTTTGTAAGAGAAGGATTCTCATAACTGTTCAAACAATTACTTCAAACATCAGAACACCAACACTTCTAGGAAGTAGTGCCAATAACAACTTAAACTTGTGCCAGCATATGGCATGTGCACACTTTGGTAGATGTTGGTATGGCCCATAGTGTCTACATGTTCTGTTGACCGTGCAATAAAAAGTATGGTTATATCGGCAGTATGAAAACAAAGGCACGAAGGCGAGTTAAAGCCCGAGTACAGCATGGTATTTTTCAAGTTCAAGATTCTTGAACTTGAAGTCGTAAATAACAGGGTTACCCTCTTTTGTTTGAAAGAACTCTCGCGACCCAGGGAAAACTTAGTGCGACGGTCACTTCTGATTGGTTTCTGTGCCCAGTCGCACAACACATCCGAACATCGCCTACCATGTTGCCGTGGTCACCTCTCACATAACTTGACGACCAAGTGGTACTCCTAATCCACTAGAGTAGGCACGCAACTAAAAAACGCGCGGCACAGCGATAGAAGCTAGTTTAGGTAGAAGCGTTTTTTTCCTTCCAGCTCTCGTCACTCCCGCTGTCTTGCCAATAGCTGAGGAGCACCCGCTTCAAGCCAAACACGCTATTACCGTACCATTTTTGCATGCCACCGACGGGACACCCGTTCTAGTGCACCACAGTCATGGGTCGGCAAAGGCTGCTGGTTACCTCCAATACAACGCCCGTAACGCATTGGCCAGCATAGCATGGCCCGCCCAACAAAAACTTGGCTTCAGTCTGCCTTCAGGCGTCATCCTCGCCTCGTCCAGACTCCCTCACTTAGTATGTGGCGAGTGCATCACCTCATCGCCCGTGCTTCCCTTGCGATTCCCTCAACCCCACGTTACGAGAGCTTCTGCACTCGCGCATGCACTCGTCGCCCGCGCGTCCCTCGTCGCGCAATGTTTCACTCGTCGCAAGCGTTTCCCTCGTCACGCCAGGTTGTCCTTGTCTCCCACGCTCACCCGCGCTTCCCACGCTTACCCACGTTTCCCGCGCTCTCCAGCGACACCCGCGCTTACCCTCGTCACCCGCGCTTACCCGTGTCATCCCCACTTACCCGCGCTTATCCGCGTTTCCCGCGCTTACCCGAGGTCACCCGCGCTTACCCGCATCATCACTGCCCGCGTCTCGCACTCTTTCCCGCGTCTGAAACGCTTACTCGAGTCTCCCGCACTTACCCTCGTCTCTTGCGTTGCTCCTCAACGCCCTCGCCTCCCGTTGTCGCCTCAGTTTCCCCCATCCACACGCATCTCCCCTTATCGCCCATGTCTACCCAAGTCGCCACTCCCCGTCGTTAGCGAAGGCCCCCACACACCACTCGCATTCTCCCCATTTGTCCGCCTCCTTTCCCCCCCACACACTACGCGCATTTTCCCCCACTTGTCCGCCTCCTTTCCCCCCCTCACACCACGCGCATTCCCCCCACTTGTCCGCCTCCTTTTCCCCCCCTCACACCACGCGCATTCCCCCCACTGGTCCGCCTCCTTTCCCCCCCGCACACCACCAGCATCCCCCCCACTTGTCAGAGGGCGAGAGACAAAGTGGGAGGGACATAGAGGAAGGGAAAGAGGGGGAGTGAAGGAGGGGTAGGGACGAAAGTGCAGGGACGAGAGGGGAGGGATAGTGGGGGAGGGACAGAGGGGCAGGGACAGAGGGGGAGGGACAGAGGGGAGGGAACGAGGGGGAGGGACAGAGGGGGAGGGACAGAGGGGGAGGGACAGAGGGGGAGGGACAGAGGGGGAGGGACAGAGGGGGAGGGACAGAGGGGAGGAAAGAAGGGGAAGGACAGAAGTGGAAGTTCAAGGGGGAGAGGGTGGAGGACAGATGGGGAGAGACAGAGGGGGGAGGTACAGGGGGGGGGACAGGGGGGGAGAGACATAGGGGGAAGGGCAAAGGGGGAGAGACAGAGGGGGAAGGACACAGGTGGAGTGACAGATGGTGAAGGGCAGAGGGGGGGAGACAGAAGGGGATTGACGGAGGGGGAGGATAAGAGGGGGAGGGGCACAGAGGGGGAAGGACAGAGGGTGAGAGCGGGTACTTCCCTCACTCCCTCTCCTCGTCGACCTCACTTCCCCAGGCTTGTTTACACCCCTCTTTATTTTGACCATCCTCCCTTTCTCCCACCACCTCTGTTTACCCCACAGTCTATTCTCCTTTGCCTCACCTGCCACTCCCCCCTCCCTCCTCCATGCTTCCCCCCTCCCTCCTCCATGCTTCCCCCCTCCCTCCTCCATGCTTCCCCCCTCCCTCCTCCCTGCTTCCCCCCTCCCTCCTTCCTGCTTCCCCCCTCCCTCCTTCCTGCTTCCCCTCGTCCCCTCCCCCTTTTTCCCCCATCCCCTACCCTGCTTCCCTCCATCCCCCTCCCTGCTTCCCTCCATCCCCTTCCCTGCTTTCCCCCATCCCCTACCCTGCTTCCCCACCCATCCTCTCCCTCCCCATGTACAACCTCCCTGCTCCTCTCATATCCCTACACCCTTGTTCCAAACTTCCCACTCCCTTCATATCACCCACTCCTGAAATACCCACCGCTAATGTGAATTCAAATTGTCACTGTTTCGTCTGGTCCCGCTTTCCACCTATGCACTGCTTCCCACGCTTGCACCCCTGCTTTCCGCCCTTGCACCCCTGCTTCCCACCCTTGCACCCCAGCTTCCCACCCTTGCACCCCTGCTTCTCCCCCTTGCACCCCTGCTTTCCACCCTTGCACCCCTGCTTTCCACCTTTGCACCCCTGCTGTCAGCCCTTGCACCCCTGCTGTCAGCCCTTGCACCGCTGATGTCAGCCCTTGCACTCCTGCTTTTCTGCTTCAAGAGCAGCAGCAAGTCCCTCCAGAGATCCTATAGCTGCCACTGGTTCGTCTGCTCCTACTCTGAGCTACTACCGGTAAAATTTTGAGCCCTCAAGTCGTGCGCCTTCTATCCCACCCATGCATCTGCCATGTGTTGGCAGGCTAACTGGTGTGTCGATTCCAGTACTGTGGCTCACTTCACTGCGCATTGTGAACGAGGTCCTTGTGAAATGCAAGTATAAGCCATCCTGAAGTAGTGTACATTGGATGCCAAGTGGTTACCTAGGCAATAATTTGCACTAAAGTGCCAACAGAGCTGGGCACTGACACCTTTGGAGTAAGATAATGGTGAAAGAATATCATGGATGTATCCTTTTTGGGATACCAAACAATCTAGTGCCCTAAGCAGAATGGAACATGAGCTGGATAAGGGTCTCAAGAATCGAAGCAATGGAGTAGTTTCACCGGGCTAACTTCATCCACACGTATATTGCAACTATAATATGTGCAAGTATATTTCGCAAAGAAGCATGATTAGGTTTAGGACAGAACGGCATAGTCCTCCACACACATGCAAGCATGACATGTTCAAGACCAAATTAGCACAGTGGGGATGGAAACACAACCCCATTTATTCATCCTGACCAGCCACCCACACCTCCACTTCCTCCCCGTCATAGTGGCCTGCTAGCCACCACTCATCACTATCGTCGCTCCACTCCTCCGCATCTTTGTTCACTGCGTCTGCCACATCATCCACTTGATCCGATGGCAATTCCGCCTTATCCCTCTCACAGTGGTAACCTGCAGCTATAGCCAATGAGATGGAGGATAAGCCAGAATTTAGAGTGGTGTCCCTGTAGCTATGAATAATCTCAATCGCAGAGCATGGCAGGGCATGCCTGGAGGGGGGAGGGAGAAGGGCGGAGCGGAGCATGACAGGGGAGGGCAGGGCAGGGCATGGCATGGCATGGGAGAGGCATGGCATGGCATGGGAGAGGCATGGCATGACGCGGATGGTGCAGACAAGGGCAGGGCGGGCCATGAGAAAGCAGGGCAGGCATGGCCCCTATAGTCATGGCATCGCAGAAAAATGAGGGTGCTGACAAGGGCGGGGCGGGGCGGGACAGGGCATTGCAGGGCAGGACATGGCAGGGCAGGGCAGGGCAGGTCAGGGCATGACAGGGCAGGGCAGGGGAGGGCAGGGCAGGGTAGGGCATGACAGGGCATGGCAGGGCAGGGCATGGTAGGGAATGGGAGATCTGAGCAGGCCAAGTTATAGCATGGTGGGCGATGGGTGTTTGTCAAATACCTTTGGGGGGGTCGATTGTCGTGGTGGGCGTCGTGGTGGTTCTGCGTGATGCCGAGCAAGCCTCGCGCGGGTTTGAAAGCTCGCCTGATATTCGCCTTGGGCACTTAGCGTGGGAGGTTCGACACATCACCTATAAGCAACATACAGATGGGTTGGAAGACGCGGATGGTGAACACATTACGCTGGCTAGAATGTTTACGTCGAGTATGAGCCATACTGAGCAATCACAACTCACGTTGCGCTGCCGTTGCTTACCCAAACGACGGCGAGCAGATCCACGAGACGTGCCGCACACCGGACCGAACCCGCCTTGGCGCACTAGTGTCACTGGCTCAAGAACAGATGCTATGGGCTGTGCGACCGATGCATCGACCAGCTGCGCAGTCGTTGCTGTTGATTCAGGCATCTTGTCAACATCCACATTATCTCCATGCCGCAGTGTTCGTTGCCATTCCTCCATGATGCCATCAACCCAAGCCCAATCCATTTTAGTCAAGATGCGCTCCTTGGATCCGCGCCTGATCCTCGTCACCTGTCGGACTCTAGTGCGATAGGCGGTCACCAGGCGATCCATGCCGTGATTCCAATGAAGAACCGCGAGACCGACTCGTGCCGGGAAGCTGCCCTGAAACCGTATCCGCTTAGGTGCATATTTGATGATCAAAGAATGGAAAGACTCGTTCAGAGAACTGGACGCGCCATGCACAAAGGACTTAACCTTCTCAGAGCTTAAGTGCTTGGAGAACCATGCACAAACCGCCTTGTGTGTCGACGACCCAAACTCATATATGGCATGGTCCTTGCCCCACCCCTCTCTGACGCAGCGAGGTGGGGTCTCTCCTACCCCAGTACAGCCGGAGTGGTCACCGGCCCAGTGGTTGGGTGGGCTCCCAAGCTCCCTCGCCACGTCGGTCGGGGTCATAGGATGCCCCTCTTTCTTCTTCGCACCACATCGCACCATCACGTGATAGAAATGAGTGGATAAGCGTTGTGCCACTGTTTGTTCCTCCTTGCCAGAATCGATATGATCTTCACCTCGTTTCCGCTTTCGGCGACCAGTCCACCGAGGTAGTGTCTCGGGCTCGCTGAACGCATTAGGGTTCTGCACTTCGGTATCAGCCCCGACTCCATCTAGCGCATCTGTGAATGTTAGAAAACGAAATACGAAAACTGAGTATAGAGTAGCACTTGGATCATGCATGCCCAAAACTTGGTAAGGGGTGTATGCATACCAGTCTCCGTGTCGGTGTTGGCCCAAGAAGTGGATCCACCGATGAAATGGGACTTTCCGTTTGCGCTAGCGTGCCCAAGCATGATGAGGGTGCTCGCCAAAGATGTCGGTCGCGCACCTAGCGTCGGGTGCACATCATAACTCCATAGCTCTTCCACGTCTTCCCATTGAACGTCAACATTCCACTCCTCCGGTGTCGGCCTGTCCACGGTAGCCCGCTCAGCTCCCTCATCCCGCTCCCGCACATCGGCATCAGAAGCACCAGGCACCTCGCCGTAGGTCACAGGCACCTCCACCGGGCTACACTCCCCCCCCATCCGCACCACCTTTCTTAGCTCGGGAAACTTCCATTTCGCCTCTTCCAGGGTCATCTTCCGGTAAACAATCGTGCCCATGGCTTTACAAACGGATTCCACCAAGTCCCCTTTCAGTGAAGCTTTCGACTCTTTCTCCAACCCCCGTGCTGTCAGCCATTGCCGTAGCCCATCGATAGTCGCAAGCCATAGATCCTCAATACAGGTCGCCTTGTCCACAGCCACTGGTGCACGGACCGCATCCTGAAGTTCTTTCAGAAATAACTTGTAAAGCGTCCGCTTCACATGCCACCAGTCCACCTGGTGGTTCAACCCCCTTTCGGACGCTGCCCCACGAAAAGTAGTCCCTTGGTCGGAGATGATCCCTTCCACCGTAAACCCTTTCTGCGCCAGTTCATCTAACCCTTTATCGAAAGCCACCCTTTCCAGTCGCACCGACGAAGTGTCGTCCACCCCTTTTCGTGTCGTCGCACAGTACACTATCTTTCTGGACGGCAAATCTAAGAACGATACTGTACACCACTCTCCCTCACGGACATGTGACCATCGACCATCGACCACTACATATTCTGTAGGAATTTCTCGCTTCATCATCTCTTCTCGTACCGCAGCCATAGTCTTATCAGCCTCTCTCAACATAGCATTCCATAACCCATTATCATCACCAAGGTACTTGTAAAATGTGCCCTTCCCTGGCGCTGGCAAGCCGACGTTGCGACAAAACTCCCACATTTGCTGATACCCCATTCCGGCTAAAGCAAATGCCCCGACAAATTTAGACTGTAGCATCAGAGAATGCGCGCCTACACCGGTTCGTGCTCTCTCGATACGCCGGCTCGGACATGACCAAAACTCTACACCATGCGAACACGCGTCGCATCTCCAAAACATGCCGACCGATGCCCATGAGAACTTCCATGACCTCAATGTCATCCCCTCACTACACACTTGCTCATGTGAACACACCAATCGACACCCTTGGAAGAACCCAACCAACTGTCGAGGCTCGACAAGACATACCCGTTGTCCGTCGATGTCATCCACGCTCGGAGCAGAAGGCCAGTGCCTAGGGACACTCCCACGCGCAACTGCTCGTCGGTGGCTGTTGGCAGGCCTAGTGGACACAAAGAGGAGGGGAGTTTGGACATGGATACAACGACGTGTTTGATAGTGCACAATGACATTTTGCCATATGTAGCCACCGCAACCACTACTCTCACCCTTGCACTGGCCGTTCTGGAGTCGTCGTCACACTTCGTGCAGGCGCGGCCACCGCAGTATCTCTGGGCACTCCGGAAACGCCCTCATCAGCATCCATGCCCACAGTGCCTACGGCTGGCGCATCTGGCAGTTCGGTCCCCATGACGTTGCCACTCCCTCCATGGTTGGCCCCTGAAACGTATTGGGAGTGTGGACGGGACGTCGTTTATTACTCACGTCCAAAACAAGCCAACTTCAGATGCATCTTCCAAATCTTACCTGAATTACACGTCGCTGCAAATGCCGCGCCACGCCTGGCGCCTCCCCATGATCGACCGGAAACCTGTCGCAGTCTTTCGCGCGCATCATACTGCACCAGTGGGAAGGAGTAACTAAGACCGGCCAGCACTCGATTGGGCCGTTGATGCAAGGCTACTACATCCTCCATAGTTCCTTTCGCTCGTTCTTTAAAGATGCGGCCGTACTCTTTTCGATGTCTTTCCAAAATTACGCCGGTATGAGTGTCGTTTGAAGCAGGATCTGTTAGGCACAGAATGTGCAGGCAGAGAATGTTCAGGCATGTGATACATTTCACGGGTGTAGGACATTCGATAGAAAGACAACCAGCACTTCAGATCATGAACACATCACATGCTCGCCCAAACCTTGTGTCATACCTGCTGCTAGGCCCGCCTCAATAAGTCGGTTGGTCGCTTGGGGTGCTGACTCAACCAAAAAGTGAATCACATCATCTGTCGTCGCCATCGTGTCCCCAAGGAACAATGCCGAGAGCCCGACGCGGAGAACACACAAAAGTGGCCGCATGTGGACTGAAATGTTGACCGTTCCTCTCTGGGCATCCTTACATGCTTGTATTGCAGGATGCCCTCCCGCACCTACACCAACCCCTGCCATCTGAAACCATGTCAGCGCATACCCCGAGGAGAGGAAGGAGATGGGTGGTTAGGGCGTTGGCACAGCAGGGACAAGGATTAGGGCATCTATAGATGTCTGCAGAAATGTGCAAATGCACGTCATGCAGCACCGAGCGGTGAGTGCACGCAATAGAGAAAGGGCCCAAAGCACCAGCAACTCTGGTGGCTGCTGCCTGGGGACTGAACAGGTGGAGGCATGGTCCTGAAACCAGGCCCAAGGCAGCAGCATCCAGAGATGCTGCTGCCTTGGGACTGAACAGGTGGGTTTACAATGGTGAAAGCAAGCCCAAGGCAGCAGCATCCAAAGCTGCTGCTGCCTTGGGACTGAACAGGTGGGTTTACAGTGGTGAAAGCAAGCCCAAGGCAGCAGCAACTCTGGTTGTTGCTGCCTAGGGACTGAACGGGTGGGTGCTTGGTGCTGAAACCAGGCCCAAGGCGGCAGCATCCAGAGATGCTGCTGCGTTGGGATAGAACAGGTGGGTTTACAGTGGTGAAAGCAAGCCCAAGGCAGCAGCAACTCTGGTTGTTGCTGCCTGGGGACTGAACTGGTGGAGGCATGGTGCTGAAACCAGCATCCAAAGCTGCTGCTGCCTTGGGACTGCACAGGTGGGTTTACAGTGGTGAAAGCAAGCCCAAGGCAGCAGCAACTCTGGTTGTTGCTGCCTGGGGACTGAACAGGTGGAGGCATGGTGCTGAAACCAGGCCCAAGGCAGCAGCATCCAGAGATGCTGCTGCCTTGGGACTGAACAGGTGGGTTTAAAATGGTGAAAGCATGCCCAAGGCAGCAGTATCCAAAGCTGCTTCTGCCTTGGGACTGAACAGGTGGGTGCTAAATGGTGAAAGCAAGCCCAAGGCAGCAGCATCCAAAGCTGCTGCTGCCTTGGGACTGAACAGGTGGGTTTACATTGGTGAAAGCAAGCCCAAGGCAGTAGCAACTCTGGTTGTTGCTGCCTGGGGACTGAACGGGTGGGTGCAAGGTGCTGAAACCAGGCCCAAGGCAGCAGCATCCAGAGATGCTGCTGCCTTGGGACTGAACAGGTGGGTTTAAAATGGTGAAAGCAAGCCCAAGGCAGCAGCATCCAAAGTTGCTGCTGCCTTGGGACAGAACAGGTGGGTTTACAGTGGTGAAAGCAAGCCCAAGGCAGCAGCAACTCTGGTTGTTACTGCCTGGGGACTCAACAGGTGGGTGTATGGTGCTGAAACCAGGCCCAAGGCAGCAGCATCCAAAGCTGCTGCTGCCTTGGGACTGAACAGGTGGGTTTACAGTGGTGAAAGCAAGCCCAAGGCAGCAGCAGCTCTGGTTGTTGCTGCCTGGGGACTGAACAGGTGGAGGCATGGTGCTGAAACCAGGCCCAAGGCAGCAGCATCCAGAGATGCTGCTGCCTTGGGACTGAACAGGTGGGTTTACAATGGTGAAAGCAAGCCCAAGGCAGCAGCATCCAAAGCTGCTGCTGCCTTGGGACTGAACAGGTGGGTTTACAGTGGTGAAAGCAAGCCCAAGGCAGCAGCAACTCTGGTTGTTGCTGCCTGGGGACTCAACGGGTGGGTGCTTGGTGCTGAAACCAGGCCCAAGGCAGCAGCATCCAGAGATGCTGCTGCGTTGGGATAGAACAGGTGGGTTTACAGTGGTGAAAGCAAGCCCAAGGCAGCAGCAACTCTGGTTGTTGCTGCCTGGGGACTGAACAGGTGGAGGCATGGTGCTGAAACCAGGCCCAAGGCAGCAGCATCCAGAGATGATGCTGCCTTGGGACTGAACAGGTGGATTTAAAATGGTGAAAGCAAGCCCAAGGCAGCAGCATCCAAAGTTGCTGCTGCCTTGGGACAGAACAGGTGGGTTTACGGTGGTGAAAGCAAGCCCAAGGCAGCAGCAACTCTGGTTGTTGCTGCATGGGGACTGAACGGGTGGGTGCATGGTGCTGAAACCAGGCCCAAGGCAGCTGCATCCAGAGATGCTGCTGCCTTGGGATCGATCAGGTGGGTTTACAGTGGTGAAAGCAAGCCCAAGGCAGCAGCAACTCTGGTTGTTGCTGCCTGGGGACTGAACAGGTGGAGGCATGGTGCTGAAACCAGGCCCAAGGCAGCAGCATCCAGAGATGCTGCTGCCTTGGGACTGAACAGGTGGGTTTAAAATGGTGGAAGGAAGCCCAAGGCAGCAGCATCCAAAGTTGCTGCTGCCTTGGGACGGAACAGGTGGGTTTACAGTGGTGAAAGCAAGCCCAAGGCAGTAGCAACTCTGGTTGTTGCTGCCTGGGGACTGAACGGGTGGGTGCTTGGTGCTGAAACCAGGCCCAAGGCGGCAGCATCCAAAGATGCTGCTGCGTTGGGATAGAACAGGTGGGTTTACAGTGGTGAAAGCAAGCCCAAGGCAGCAGCAACTCTGGTTGTTGCTGCCTGGGGACTGAACAGGTGGAGGCATGGTGCTGAAACCAGGCCCAAGGCAGCAGCATCCAGAGATGGTGCTGCCTTGGGACTGAACAGGTGGGTTTAAAATGGTGAAAGCAAGCCCAAGGCAGCAGCATCCAAAGTTGCTGCTGCCTTGGGACAACACAGGTGGGTTTACAGTGGTGAAAGCAAGCCCAAGGCAGCAGCATCCAAAGTTGCTGCTGCCTTGGGACGGAACAGGTGGGTTTACAGTGGTGAAAGCAAGCCCAAGGCAGTAGCAACTCTGGTTGTTGCTGCCTGGGGACTGAACGGGTGGGTGCATGGTGCTGAAACCAGGCCCAAGGCAGCAGCATCCAAAGCTGCTGCTGCCTTGGGACTGTTCAGGTGGGTTTACAGTGGTGAAAGCAAGCCCAAGGCAGCAGCAGCTCTGGTTGTTGCTGCCTGGGGACTGAACAGGTGGAGGCATGGTGCTGAAACCAGGCCCAAGGCAGCAGCATCCAGAGATGCTGCTGCCTTGGGACTGAACAGAGGGGTTTACAATGGTGAAAGCAAGCCCAAGGCAGC